CACACAGTGGTCACAGAAAGGCATATTAGGCACACAGTCTTTTCCTAATACACCTTTATCATTTAGCAGTTTAAGTCCTTTAATACTTATGTGAGCTAATCTATTGTGCCACTTGTGTGTATCATCAGTGTTGGTCAAATTTATAGAGGAAATAGAATCTTTAACAATTTCAGCATTGGTCACATAAATACCGTTTCTTTTAATACCTTTACATGTGACAAGTGAACCCTTAATCATTTTCAACATACTGTTTCCAATTTTACCAGAAAAACCATCGGTTTCTAATGCTCCTACCGAAATAAGATTTCTAGCCATTTCAGGAATATATCTGACTCCATATAATTTAAGCACATAGCCAGTGTCAAATTTTAACGTGATATCACAAATTCCAACAATTTTATATGCATCATTATTGCATAAAATAGCATGACGACTTTTAGACTCTTGCAAATTTTCAAACCAAGCTTTATGTGATGAAACATGGAATGATGCACCAAAATCAAGTATCCATTCATGCACGTGTGATTTCATAGTCAGATTTACTTCAGTAGGTTCAGAGTTCAATAACACATATACTTCACAGCATTTATCAGAAGAAGTAACAACATTGGCCTCATCAACAACCTTTTCATTTTGTTTGTTTTTCTCAACATAACAATCTTTAATGAAATGTCCAGTTTTACCGCACCCATAACATTTCCTACCTTTAGGTTTACCTTTTGGCCTAGATAGAGTCCTATTTTTCTTTTTACCACCAGATGCATATCCTCTTTGGTCATCACGAGTCCTAGACTGAGACCTACCTCTCATCATATGGACCTCACCACTTTTTCTCTCGACTCTCTCGGCTCGCATTTCCATATCTTTACTTCTTAACGAGTCTATGACAATTTCAGGTGTTAAAGTATCTCTCCCTTACTTAATAGCATTTTTAACATATCTATAAGTGTCAGGAATAACATTCAACAAAATGATAGCCTTATATTCTTCAGATACTTTTTCACCACAGTTAGTGATGTCTTGCACAAGTTTATTGAAAACATCCAAATTGTCATCAAGGTCTTTTGAAGAATCAATTTTGAAACTAAAAAAGCTTTCGAGTAGAAAAAGTTTGTTTGGAGTGGACCTTGACACATAAAGTTCCTCCAAGTTTTCCCAAAGTTCTTTGGTAGTTTTTAACTTACCAACTTTTCTTAAAACTGCATCAGACAAGTGTAAAATAATAGAAGTGTATGCCAATTCATCCAAGTTTTCTTTTTCTTCAGCAGTCAAGGTTTCAAAAAAAGAATCATCAATAGCTTTTGAAACTTTTTGTTGAACAAGAATACCTTTCATTTTTTGTTGCCAAATAGAAAAATCTCCTTTACCATTAAAGATACCCAATTCAAAGTGATGTGTCGATATCTTACCCAAAAATGCACAGAACGCAAATTCAAACTTGTAAAGGTCACAAGTCACACAGATTACACAAAGTAACAAGATTCCTATGGTTTCACAGTAATACTCTATTCTAGAACCCCAAGAGTCCGTGAGAATCAAGTTCTCAGGTCAAGGGAAGAAACTAGAATAGGCGGCTCGGGTACAATTCTAAAATGATATAAGATAACACAACAACGTTCAACAAATTAAGCTAAAAACGATAAACAAATAATTTCACTTAGAAATTAAACAGGTAATCCTATGTTCTAGCAACAAACAATGGTTACCAAGCAATGGCAACCCCCAAACCTATGTGATCACCCAACACGATGATCTGCTAGTGTGATAATGTGAAGGTTTCAGCCAATTTACCAGAGCGGACCACTTCTGAGGTCCGTAAATTGGACAGATGTGAATTTACTGCTTTAGGGCCGCAATCTTGGCCTAAAGTAATTCAGTAAATATTCAGAAGTTTCGACCGGCAATCCACCAAGGGCAAAATCGTCCAACTTTTTCTGCAGTACCTGAAATCGAAAACTAACAGCACAGGAGTGTTAGAAATAACAAAATAAAGATTCTTTCAGAAGGGACCTTCCCCGGAATCGGAGCACATGGCCCTCACGCGCCGCCTCCGGTTTGCCCACGCGCCGTCGGCGTTGACCGACGCGCCGATGGTCCTGAATCTCCTCCGCCTGCACGTCCTAAATCCGGTCTCTGTTTCTCCAAACGACTTTTGGTTTGTCCAGAAATCGAATTTACAGGTTCAGATTTTTTTTGAAAAAATCTGGGCAGATTGCGTTTCTGATCTGTTTTCTTCGATTCCACCGCTCTGATACCAATTTGTGAGTATTAAATGTCTCCTACAAGTGAACAAATCAACAAGTAAGTGATAAACTCAATTAATAAACAAGAATCAATCAAAACAATCAAGAAAGTGAAGAAATAGATGCAAGAACAAAGAAGTAATAATTCCCCCTTTTCTTAGGCTCAGAAACTTCGATCCAACACCACAAAGGTAACACCAACAATAGATTTTCGGAGTCCAAGATATACACCAAGTATTAGAGCACACAAAGGCAAAGAAAAATAGTTTCAAGGCACAAAGTACAGGGACTATTTTCTAGGGTTGTTGGTATGTTTACATAGGTTTAGAGGTCAATTATATGTAGGTCAAGTAGAAAAACGAATTTCCTAGATATTCCAATAAAATCTTCAAAGATGGGTATCAATTTGAATAAGGTAGGTTACCAAAAGTTAGGGATAGTGTATATCTCTAACTACCAAGTCCATCTTTTAATTAGGTATTGAGCACCTAGCCCTAATGGGCCGATTTCCTCTAAATACCCAACTTAATTGGGTTACTACAATTGTGGTGTGGATCTTTAATACATATTTCCCGGGCTTAAAGCCTATGAAACGAATAGGTCTCGATTTTTCATCATTGCCTAGGGGGTTGTTTGAGCATCACTAAAATACCTAACAGTTATTATACAAAGATTTTGATATGCTTATTGTCATCCTTTCCTAGAGTCAATATCTAAATGCTGTAATATTATCTTCTTGAGTTTTATATATTATATTATATAGTAGAAAATAAGTTTTTAGAAAAAAAAAAAAAGAATTTTCAGAAATTGACTGCTAATTAAGTGGAAGTAATAATATATGAACAGTCAGGTATTTCACTTCCATATACTTGTACAAATGTTTCTTTGACGAGGTTTACAACAGATATACAAAAAATTCCTGGAAAGAATTAGAAAAATAAACATTAAATATGATTAATTTCACGTAGAAAAGGTAATTTACCAAATAACCAAGGAAAAAAGTTGACGTAGCCGTAACTCTAACAATAAAATTTTTTCGAGTGAAAATAATATATCGAATTATTATAATCCAATCCACGTTGTCAATCAAATTATCTAGAATAGGATTGTATGGAGTGTGTGGAAAATTTCATAGGATTCACAAGTGTATACATAATTGGATTTTTTTTTCCTGTTGAAAAATGCAATTTACATTTCCTTAACATCTCGCCATTGAAGAGATTTTCGTCCAGTTTAGAGATCTAAATTACAATTTAAATCTATTTTATATCACGATTGGAGATGCTCTTATAATTCTTTTCTATAGTTGGAGTTTCACCCATAATATCAATCTTCTAGCTAATTTATGCTTATGGTGGCATTATTCTTCCACATCGTCTTGGCCGAGTTTGTATTTTGCCTTCATTTTTCTGTGTATAATCAATCAGTATAAATTAAATTAGATGAAAGACTATATTCATGATGAGATGATCAACATGCAGGAATGACAATTATACGATAAATAGTTCATATTTTTTTAATTAATTGTTGTATCAATTTTTAAGTTTCATCTTATTAAGATCAAACTCAGGGTCAACCTGCTCCACCAGTGAAATAAATTTACATTTCAATTTAGGTTTGACAATACATAGGAAGATAGCTCTCTGATTTTCTATCAGATTTATTATTTATAGAAGCAGGCATAAATAACACAGGGTAATTGTTGATTTATACCATTGATTTATACAATTAATTTAAATCACATATTTTATGGAGTTCATAATTTTTCAATTACACATTTCATCAACTTCTATCCAAATCTACCAAAGATTTGATTTTAATCTCTACCGAATAGAAGCTTACCATCAAAATAGTCTATTAGAGATAACTATAATTTTACTTAAAATGTCAATTATTTAATTAACTTCAATTTGCTTCAATCATTGAAAAGGATATATTTATTAATATTATAAGCCAATTGGAACTTATATCGGCATTAAAAAATGAAGGCTTATTGTTGAAGTCCACTCATACCCATCCAGGAACACAAGACAAATTGGTTTCTTCTCTTGTGGCTCATCAGCTTCTTTCAGTTAAAACTCCAATGTTAGTTTTGACTTCGAGAGGTAAAAAGCACCATGTCTTTTAGAATAAGTAATCATTAATTTTGAATTTCCGTACAATTTATTTTTCTTGCATCATCCTTTCCTTATGTTATTATACAAAGATTTTGATGTGCTTATTGTCATCCTTACCTAGAGTCAAGATTTAAATGCTAAAATTTTATCTTCTTCCTTTTTTGTTCTTTTACAGAGGTTGGGTTTTTGTGATTTCCTTTGGGCGTCTTATCTATAGGCAATACCATGGGTGACATGCTAGCAAATGCTTTGGTGAATGTGGTGAATTTGGTGAGTGATTATTACTACCTTGACAAGAAAATGCAAAATCTTAAGAGGAAGGTTGAACAACTTAGTTGTCACAAAGCTGATATGGTTGCAAGGCTAAGAGAGGAAGAACATCATCCAGGGAAAAGGCGAAAAAATGTGGTCAAATATTGGTTGAGCGAAGTAGTATCAAAGCAAAAAGAATTCGAAAGCTTGGAAGTGGAAGTGAACCAAAAGAGTTGTATTTCGCGTGTGAAATTGGCGAAGCGGGCTAATGCAATGATTGAGGAAGTGACAGAACTTCTTGATCAAGGCATATTCTTTGAGGGGGTTGTACTAGATGTTAGTGAGACAATAGAGGAGAAATTTGTAACTGTAGAATGGAGAGGCCAAGCATTTAATGAAAATTTGAAGACGGTTAAGAATTATTTATTGGGGAATGAGGTCTCAAGTATTGGTGTCTATGGCATGGGAGGAGTTGGCAAAACAACACTGGCACAATGTATCTATAATGAGCTCAAGAATGAAAGTTCGTTCTGCGGTAATATATTCTGGTTCACCGTCTCGCAAGATTTAAACATTCACAAGTTGCAGGATGACTTTCGAAAGGCCCTTAAACTAGATCCTTTCGATGAAGATGATGAGCACAAGAGGGCAGCCAAATTGGGTGGGGCATTGGAGAGAAAGAAGAGATTTGTACTCATGTTGGACGACGTCTGGACTCATTTTTTGCTGGAGAGGATTGGAATTTCTCCCACTCTACATGGATTTAAGATAATAGTAATTAGTCGATCACTAGAGGTGTGTCGCAAAATGAAATGCCAAAAGTGTGTAAAAGTGGAAGTTCTTTCGGATGAAGAAGATTGGAAGCTATTTATGAACAAACTTAGTGATGGCAAACGACTTCCACCCAAAGTGGAAGAGATAGCAAGAGAAGTGGTAAAGAAGTGTGCTAGTCTGCCTCTTGCAATTATCACCATGGCTGGAAGCTTGAGGGAAGTGGTTGACATTCATGACTGGAGGGATGCCCTGGAAGAGCTGATAGAGTCGTGTGTGGGACGAGATGTCATGGAAGATGAGGTTTTTCCGATATTATTGTGTAGTTTTAATCGATTGAGGGATCCAATACTAAAGCGTTGTTTCTTGTATTGTTCCCTGTATCCCGAAGACCGCAGAATTGAAAGACACGTGTTGATATCAAGTTTCATTTCAGAGGGGTTGATGGATACAAGAAGAAGCAGGCAAGCATACTTTGACCAAGGTCACAAAATATTGAATAAATTGGAGAGCGTTTGCTTATTGGAAAGATGTGAAGAATCTAACTATGTAAAGCAGGGTGTGAAGATGCATGATCTAATAAGAGACATGGCTTTAAAGATCACAAAAGATGACTACATGGTAAAAGCTGGACTTCAGTTAAAGGAAATTCCAGAGGAGCAGGAATGGAAGGAAGATTTGGTTAAGGTTTCCTTAATGGAGAACATGATAAAAGAAATTTCGAGAGTCACATCACCCAAGTGTCCTAAACTTTCAACCTTGCTTTTGATGTCCAATCCTCTGAAGTTTATTCCAGATTCATTCTTTTTGCAAATGCGTGGCCTGCATGTTCTCAATTTGAGTCACACTCCGATTGAGTACTTGCCCAGTTCCATATCGGACTTGAAGGAACTTAATGCATTATTACTCAATTTTTGTGTATTACTTACGTTTCTACCACCATTGGGAAACCTCAAGGAGCTGAAAGAGCTAGGCCTTCGTTTGACTTCCATTAAGGAAATACCCGAAGGCATGAAAAGTTTAACCAATCTCAAATGCTTGGACACAGTTGACTCATATATAGCAACAATTCCAACGGGGACTTTACAAAGACTGTCACTTCTTCAGCATCTAATGCTACCTTTTAGAACGACAATACCAATAGAAGAAGTTGCAGGATTGAAACAACTAGAAGACATTCACTGCAAATTTGGCAGCGTGAATGATTTCAACATATTTATGAAGTCTCTACCAAGTGATGGGCAGCTCAATATCTTTGATATTCGAATAGGTGACACTCCTGTTTATCATACGAAAGATTTGGTGGTAAAACAGATAATTTTTGGAACAGACAGTCTTAAGAAAGGCGAAAGAGGCAGAGACGAGATTACGCTGCCACGAAATATCGAGAGAGTGGAGTTTGTCCGGTGTGGTCTGGATAGCTGCTTATTTGATAATATCCAACAAGTAAATAATGCTATAGAATTGAAGCACTGCATTGTTAAAGGCGATGGAATAGAGTTCATTGTGAGATTGTCGCTTGAGAAGGAACTGATGCCACTCCATTACCTTCAAAATTTGATCCTTGAGCACTTGCCGAATTTTATTGGTCTCATCCGGTGGGATGTAACACCAACAGTTGCACCGCTTCCACATGGCCTTTTTTCTCGCCTTCAAAGTTTGAGGATTTGGGGTTGTGACAAAATCAAGAAGCTTCTCCCTCCGAGTTTGGTACTAAACCTTCATAACCTCAAGCGGTTGATTGTTTCTTCATGTGCAAAAATGGAAGAGATAATAGGAGAAGATGAAAGTGATGCAGGATTCGGTGCAGAAAGTAATACCGACATCACCCTGCCAAGGTTAGAGTTTTTGCAACTCAGCAATCTGCCAGAATTAAAAAGCATATGCAAGGGGACAATAATCTGTCATTCCATTGAGGTAATTTGTTTATACGATATTACAAAAGTAAGGAAGGTGCCTCTGTTTCTGCAGCTTAACAATGATGGACAACTATCTCCGCCCCCGTCTCTCAAAATGATAAAAGTATTCGAAAATGATAAAGGATGGTGGGAATCATTGGAGTGGGACCAGCCCAATGCCAACAGCGTCCTTCAATCCTTCGTTCATTTACGTGTTTAGAACTTTAGTTTCCAATTGCATGTGGGTGAATACTTTGATTTGAGTCCTGAGATGAAGATAGAACCACTCTGCTTCCTTCTAAACTTGATATGTTTCATGCTTTTATTATTATTCAATTCCGTCTCTTTGAATTTTCTTTGGCAAATAGACACGTTGCTATGCAGCTACAAAAATTCTTAGAATGAAATTTGAATTTATCATTTTTGATGCTTAGGGACGAAGAAACATAATTACAAGGTGTAATTCCAATCTCCCTACCTCATATTACCATTTTCCCTTATCTTCTGTTGTTTCTTTAGTGATTCAAGTAACCAATGGTTTATTATATTAGTATGGTAAATGTGACACAGGTTGTAAGTGTGATAGAAAGATACCTCGAGACTAATAGGACATGGACATACAAAATAAAGAAGCAGCAAATTTTGAGTGTCAATTCCCAGAAAATGTCCATTATTTCGCAATTGTTAACGCAAATAAACATGACACTACCAACACTCAATGCTTGTAGGAGAATTATGAACAAACAGTAACACAAAGTTTACAGTATCAAACCAGCATTGAAGTAGTACTAGGCAACACACAGACTAAGTTCAAATATCCTGCTCGAACTAGCATTAGATTTAAGTGTGAGTTAACATATCGTGTCTGGACTGGCACGAGAATGAACAAGAATCGGGCAGTAACTGATGCTACTGCTCAATAACCATGAATCTTGATCAGTTCCTTCTTCATAATTCCAGCCTGATAAGAAACCAAATTAAAACAATAAATATTATCACTGGAACTCCAAACCCCTAAATTAAATAGTCTCTCTCTACGAACACAGTGGCACTGAGCATCCATTTGTCGTTTCTTAAGTTACTTATAATTTCACTTTCAAATTCAAATTTAATTTTAACCCACATTTTGTAAGACTCACAACTATTACACATGTATCCACCAATCATTTCTATCACATTATAATTTTAGTAACTTAATATTTTATTAGAGCAAGCACTAAGTAGAAAAACTAAAACATGCTTCAAATCATCTTCCTCCATGGCTATTTATTATTCAATTTTCTTACATCTCATGAACTTAACAGCCAAAAGTAATCACCTGAACAAGAATGGTGGAATTATTCTTTAGCTTGAATAACCTTCACAAGAGAGTCAGACTTCAACATTAAATATGCTAAAACCCAACCAATTGGAAGGAGGGAAAGGAAATAGATCTATGTTAAGAAACAATACACACTTGGCCTAGTTCTGGTTCCTGGGTAATAGTACCATTGCAGCAGCATTCTTTCTGAAGATCCTTGACTAATTTATTATAACTGAACTCATTTCTTCAATCCTTGCATAGTTGTTCGGCTTTTCCTACCATTCCTTTGTTGTACGCGAATATGAACACATTCTTTTGTACCAGCACCGAAATTATCAGCATTTGCCTCAGCAAAATGATCTCCACATTACATGAAAAGTCTAAGAGATTTAATTGTAAGCAAGATGGAATTTCCTTCTTAAGCTCTTAATAGTCATATAGAGAGAGTCTTTCTTCCTCCTACTCAATATAAAATGTTTATACTCTCATTTCATGCTTAAGAGAAAAACTAAAACAAGGCAGAATAGACAAAATATTTACAGAAAACAAAAGGAATAAGAGGATAGCTTACAAAAAGCAGTAGGAGTCTGGATGTCAAAATCAGACATGAAACTTGGCTGATATAACAAGCGTGTATAGCAAAGTGTGATTTGTTAAAGAAGATTTAAATGCTCAGACCTGGATGAAAGAAATGAAATTGAATTTAATGAACACATAATCTATAGATGCAAAATTAGATATTAATGCTCAAGGGTGGATGAAATCATGAAAGAAACAATGATTAGCTAATTATAATAATGTACGCATTTGAGAGACTGATGATTGAAGATCCTCTGTTTCAATTGGGAAAGAAAGAAATCATCAATATGTGTGATATCTCAATGGACCCGAGATAGAGATCCTTATATACATAACTCATAAACACAACTTGTTATATTAGGTGAGTCCATTTCATAAACCAAGAAAACCAAAAACACATCAATCTATTTAAATAAATCAAAACAAACAAAAGCTTTGAAAGCTTACGAAAAGAAATTTACAGACTAGAATATGTCCTTCAATATATAATTAGGTGTTCAAGATTATATCAATTAAAAAAAGTGATTGGAGGAGAATTACCTGATCAAAAGATTAGGATTTGTCAAATTCCAACTCAGTGAAGAACCTAACGGTTGTGTCTGAGCAGAGTGGAAGAGACTCCAAGAGGGATCGGTGACTCAAGGAAAAAGAGGCTTGGGAAACGTTTGATGGTCGGGATTTTAATGTATGTGTGCGGAACATCGTAAAGTTTTTTGATTTTGAAAAACATTGGTGGTTATAATACGGGAAGTAGATAAGGAATGCTAGTTTTATTTACGAAGTCGTTAGATTGTGATTGTAGTTTTATTTAAAAATGTGTGAGCCCCTTTTTGAGGCTCTACCGTGACATGAAGTAAATTATATGAAATGGAAATTAACATAAAGAGCTCTGAAATGTTCTAAAACTATTGATCGAGAGTCTTCAATAGAGCGAAATGTGTTCTGAAATAGTGTTTTTCTAAAATATGTGGGTAAAAAATAAAAATAAAATTTGATTTACGCATAAAATAGTGTATTCTTTTTCCCCTTTTCAGGCCATTTTATGTTTTCGATTTTTCAAAACGATGAAAACGCGTTCTCTTTCTCGTTTTCGAAAATAAATTTTCGAAAATGAAAAAAATTTGTAAAGAAAACACGAAACGATGCTTTTGTCGTTTTGGCCGTTTCCAATACAAAACTCGAAAAAATTGAAAACACGGAAATGGTTCCAAAATGGTTAAAAGAACGCATTTTCAGCAATATCAAAATAGACACCAAAACACAAAATTCAAAACTACAAAAATGAAACTCGAAGAGAACAACCCCTCAATTTTTTATAAAATGGAGCAAACAAGGGCTTAATTCAGGAGGTGAAGACTTGGCGAAAGATAAAAAGAAAATATCTTTTTTTCTACTAGGCCTTGTGGGGAAGGGCTGGGCTTTAGCCCAAGCTTACCCACCTCTCTACACCCCTGAATTATAGCCATGGATATGCACATTTAAACAAGTTATGTGTCCTTATATTTTAACAAATCAATCATTTGGCCCCGTTCTGATTTTGCTCAAAATCAAATTTTTAGTAGATTTAAATAGAAGTTGATAAAATTTATAAATTTCATGAAATAAGTAATTGAAAACGAGTTTGACGAAAAATGATTTTTTGAAAATAGCAGCACTTAAACCATCTATATTTCCATCTAAATTGGCAGTAAGTAGGGCTAAGTTACATTACCAAAGTAAAACCAAATCATATTTTGACAATTTATGCATGTAGATATTACGTGTAAGTTTCAATGGACAACTTCTTGCTTCCCTTCATAACATTCAAAAAAGTGCAACTTAACTGAACAATGTACAAGCATGAAATTAATCTATATCTCTATATACTGAAAAGAATCAATTTATGCAATTGTTAACCAAGTAAAATACAACATCAATCAGTGACTTTCTTAGGCTACTGATAGAGAACATGAGAAAACCATTGACATTATTAGTTAATTACAATGGAAATAAGAAAATCATCCTAGAATTTCAACCACTCAAGAATGGTTGCTGCCACTTACTTCTGTTCTCCACCATTAAATCATCCCAGAATCATCATTTTAACAAGAAGAACAAAAAGCAGTCCACAATCAGAATCATCTTTTGGAAATATTATAAGATTCAAATCCATCCATGATAAATAACAATCATCAGTTATTACATGCTGTTAGTATTCATCGAACAAATACGTAAAAATGTATATACTAATCCAGACTGAGAATGTGCATAAACGATCTTTCATAATCATAAATGGAGGGAAGCCCCATGAACTTCCATACTTAAAAACAAACATAACTAGCACAACAAGCAACAAGAACATCAAATATTAAAGTATGAATTTTCTGCACAGGATAGGGACATACTTGTTCTCCTTGTTCAAGACGAGCAACAAGACACTGTTGAAACCACACCAAGGACCACACATCACCACCTGCAGGACCACTATCAGCAAAATATTCAGAAACCACCACGGAGGACAAGACGGAGGGTAGACTCCTTTTGGATGTTGTGGTCAGCAGGGTCTTTCCATCCTCCAACTATTTCCCAGCAAAGATCAATGAATCTTAGCCTTCACATTGTCAATGGAATCAGAACTCTCCAGCTTCAAAGTGAGAGTCATTCCAGTCAAAGACTTGACAAAAATTTGCATCCCTCTCCTCAACCTAAGCACCAAGAGCAGAGTAAACTCTTTTTGGGTGTCGTAGTCGGTCAAGGTACGGCCATCCTCAAGCTGCTTCCCAACGAAGATGAGCCTCTGTTGGTCTGTTGGAATACCCTCCTTATCCTTACGTTGTCAATGGTATCGAGCTTTCCACTTCGAGGGTAAAAGTCTTGCCAGTCAAGGTTTTCACGAAAATCTGCATCTGTAAAATTAAAACAAGAAACAAGACCCACAACAGAATTTATCTCATTATATTCTAAAAATAAAATTAAATAGTACAGAAAATTTTATCGCTAACATATAAATTATTGACAAAAATGGCAAATTGAACTACAAATATTCACTGAGAGACAGATACAGAGCAAAAATAATTGGAATTAGGAAATAATAAACAAATTCTCAATCAAAACAAAGACCATTCAACTATAAAAAGGGGAACTCTATCAAACGTCCAGTTTTATGTGACAATAGATGATACATTCACTTAAATACATTATCAAATTATTCATTTAATTATATCTATTAAATATAATCATTTGTACTTGTGGTGTAAGACCATTTGTCCTAGATATTATTATTCTTTCAAGAAAAAGCAACACAGAGAAAAGGAAAAAGAGAATGGCGACCTACAGTATGATACAAATTCCTCTTCCCATTTCCATGAAATTTCATGAACAAAAATAAAAATTAGGGATTAAGAGTCTAAATTAATTGATCCTCTTCTATACATGTAATCTGTCATAAGCAGCTAGTGGAAGGAAGCTCCTGGAGAAAGAAGAAGAAGAGGTCTCAACGAAATTACCAGAAACTGCAAGCTGGAGACGACGCCATTCGGTGTTATATTAGAGACGGCAGTTTCAACATTTCAAATTGGCAATTTCAGCATATTTCAAATTGTTAACCGTAAATACGCCTTTTTTCCCACTACTTAAACA